GCGGAGGGGAGAATTGTGTGCAACAAGCCTTTTGCGTGGTCAGCTCCCCAGGCTCTAAAAGGGAACGTGATTCAGCTGATGGAGTCAGGGAAGGCTGTGTGGGAGAGTCAGCATATGCGCTGAACTCGGGAGGGGAGGGGAGGGGAGAAGGGGAGATTTCAGACAACAGAACTGGGACAGTGTTGAAAGGGACTTCAGAGACCCTCCGTGAGGCAGGATACACACCATCATCACCAATTCGGAGAGGCTCAGGGAGCTGAAGTCGCTTGCCCAAGGTCACATAGCTTTTAAAAGTGCAGTAGCTTTTAAAAGTTCAGAGGTTCCCCAGGGCAGGGCCTTTGAGGAGCCACTGGGTGCAGCCAGCATGGTGATTCAGGTCCCGTGGTTAATTAGTAACAGGGCCCTGTGGCCAGCTCTCAGCTAGCCTAGCTGGGAGGTTGAACTTGAGCTGGTTCGCAGTTTGAGTGAGTGGATGACAGGTCACCCCTGACTGGGAAGGCTCTTCCGGCGATTCAGGATTGGGCCACCATGCAGAGAGACGGGAGGGCAGAGCTGTGCTCGGGGCTGCTCCCCAGGACCTGAGCGGGGACCCAGCATTTTCAGGTGAGAGGCTCAGCTGTGGGCAGGACACCTGCCGGCCAGCCTGCTGGTCTGCCAAACCGACTAACTAGTTACCTAGCCAACTTCCTTCCTAACTACCTACTTACTTTCCTTCCTAACACCCTTCTTCCTAATTCCCTCTTTTCTTCCTAACTCTCCTCCCCGACCCTCCCTTGCTTCCTTTCCTAATTTTTTTTCTTAACTTCTTCCCCCCTATCCCTCCTTCCTTTGCCTCCTTCCCTCTCCACTCCTCTCTACCTCTCAGCCACCTAGTTGTCTTCCTTCCTAACCACCAATGTACATTCTTACTTCTTTCCCACTAACTTCATGCCTCCCTTTTCTAAATTCCTAACTCCTTCCTGAAATTCCAGGCCTTGGAGTCAGACTGCCTGGGTTCACGTCTCAGTTACATCACTTACTAGCTATGTGGCCTGATCAAGTCACTTCACCTCCCCGAGCCTCAGCGTCCTCCTCCTTCAAACAGGGACGATGATAGTTCCCAACCCATGGCGCTGTGGGAACAAAGTCAGGTCAAGAGAAGGGAGCCCGAAGCCTTAGGAGCAGAGAGCTGCTCAGATGTGGGGTTCACAGCCAAGGTGATGGGGGAAGGAGAGGGTGTGCAATGGGCATGTCGAAGTTCCCACCAGGACTTAGAGACTTTGCACGGTGGTACAAGAATAAGAAATAAGCTAACCCACTGTCACCTTGGGTTGTGGCCCTCAGCCTTTTCTCTGTGGCTGTGGCTCTACACAAATGTCCATGTGCCCACCTGTCTTTTTGTTCTGTACAAAGACAGTACCCCTGGTACACCTACCATTTTGAAATCTGGTTTGTTTGTTTCGCTTGACACTGTAGCACATGTATGTTTCTGCTTCCATGCACATAGGCTTGTGTGTCAGTTTTGTTTGCTGTTGGGTAATATTCCATTTTATATGTGTCCTGTAATTTATCTTATCAATTCATTCCTTGATTCATTAGTCAAATATGTAGGGAGCACCGACTGCCTTCCAGGCCCCGTTCCCAGTGCTGCAGTCCACAGTGAACAAGAGAGTCTTTGCCCTCCTGGAGCCAATGTCCTCATTCGAGATAGAAAACAAACAAGACACTGCGTATGAAGGTGTCAAAGAGTGATAAGTGTTCCGAAGTAAAAGATAGCGCAGGAAAGTGCAGAGGGAGTGAGCGGGACTGGCTTTGTAGAGCGACCAACCATCCTGGTTTGCCCAGAACTGTACAGGTTTTAGCACTGAAAGTCCCACATGCTGGGAACCTGGAAGTCCCAGACAAGCCAGGACAAGGGGTCCCCAGGAACCAGAAGAGGCCTGAGAGGCCACACATGAGCAGAGACCCTGTGAGGTTAGCGGAAGGCAGCTCTACAGAAGAGCATTCTAGGCAGAGGAAGTGCGAGGGGCAGGAGGCCAGAGGACACGCCGTGTGTCTGAGGAACAGCCAGAAAGCCAGAGAGGCTGGCGTGTTGTGAGAGGAAGCAGTGGAGATGGGTGGGCAGGAAGGCAGAAGCCGGGGTGGACCAGCATAAAGACTTTGGATTTTGATCCTCCAAGTAATGGGAAGTCACGGGAGTTTTGAGCAACAAATCACATGATCTGATTTACATTGTTAAAGAGTCACTCTGGCTTTTGGTGGGAGCTTGTACTGGGTAAAGACAGAAATAGAGAATCAGCCCTAGCCGGTTTGGCTCAGTGGATAGAGCATCAGCCTGCAGACCATAGGGTCCTGGGTTCGATTCCGGTCAAGGGCACGTACCTTGGTTGCAGGCTTCTCCCCAGCCTGGGCCCTGGTCAGGAGGCAACAAATCGATGTGTTTCTCTCACATCGATGTTTCTCTCTGTCTTTCCCTCTCTCTTCCACTTTCCCTAAAAATCAATGGAAAAATATCCTCCGGTGAGGATTAACAACCAAAAATAAAAAATTAAAAAAAAACAACTTAGAAAAAGATAAGAAATAGAGAATCGGTAGGGCAGACAAAAATAAAAAATTTAAAAAAAACAACTTAAAAAATTAAAAAAAAAAACACAACTTAAAAAAAGATAAGAAATAGAGAATCGGTAGGGCAGCTATTGCAGTGATCCACGCAGGTGGTTGCAGCAATGGGTTTCTGGTTGCACTCGGAGGTTCGAGCCTCGTGGGATTTCTTGGAGGAGAGGAGGGTGGGGTAAGGTGCCAGCTTTTTAGAATGAGTTCCAAGTTGCCGGCTTGAACTTTTGAGTCGGTGGTGGTGCCAGGGAAGAGTGGAAGGAAAGTGAGTCAAGACTGGTTTCAGACGTGTTTGGTCTGAGGTGCCTCTGGACATGTAACCAGTGAAGGGTTGAGGAAGCCGTTAGCTATTTCAATCCAGAATTCAGGAGATAATCAGAACCAGGGAGATACGCTTGGGAATTATTGCGTACACTTGGTACTCAAAGCCATGAAAGCGCTTGAGCTCAACTAGGAACAAGTGTAGACAGAGGTCCAAGGGCTGAGCCCTGAGACAGGCCAGTGTTAAAGGTAAAAAGAGGAGGCGAATCCAGCCGAAGAGGTGGGGGAAGAGCAGTCAGTGAGGCAGGCGGGCATCCAGTAGCTCCTGAAGCCAAGTGGGAGGAGTGGGTGTGTCAGATCCTCCCCAGAAGCTGGGCGAGAGGAGGACGGAGGACCCATCACTGGCCCTGGCACGCGGAAGCCTCTGTTTTGGTGCTGTATTGGGGGGAAAGCTTTGTGACGGGTTCAAGAGAGAACGGAAAAAGGAACGGAGGCTGAGTCCACACCGTTCTTTCAAGGAGTTGATCTGAAAAGGGGAACAGCGAAATGGACAGCACCTGGAGGGGGATGTGAGGTCAAAAGGGGGCTATGACAGCCGGCAATATTCCAAAGCGCCTGGTGGTGGAACATTCAGGTTATTATTATCACTGCCATCGCTTTCCGGTTCTAAACAGTGCTGCTGACTGGAGGGCCAATCAGGGGCTTGTTATTGAAAAGAAATGTCCTTGTTCTGCTACGTGTTTTGTAAACATGACACCCTGCCCATCTGTGTATTGATTCAACACTTCTATTTTGTTGGAAGATGGTAGGCTCTGATGTCGTTCACTCGGTTTCCTTGGCTGACACCTCCAGTGCCCTGCTCTCAGCGCCCGCAGAGAACCCCTGGGCCACTAGGCTCAGGTCCCGCCCTGACCAAGCCCTTTGGCCCCAGCCCCATAAATCCCTCCACTGTGGTGAATTGCAGAGGTCTGTGTGTGGCATGTGGCAGCCACATAGAAAGTTCCAGAAGAACAGGGGCTGTGTCAGGCCATGTCAAGTCCTGCGTTCCCTAGAACATCCCTCATGAGCTCCGGGGGAGAGGAGAGACCCATGAGTACCTAATTATCACACCAGGGAACAAGAACTTCATGAGCCAAGTGCGGGCTGGGACCATGTTCCTGCCTCTTACATAGTCGCAGAGCGGTGGGCCAACCAGCCCTATCCTGGGGACTGCAGGCCAGAGTCCAGGAGGGGCCAGCAGGGAAAGGCCGCAATGGCCAAGGACTTGGCATTCAAAGACCAAGGCCAGCTGGGTGAGCCAGACACCTGGGCTCCAGGTTCCTCTCAGGTTCCTGGGGAGGCGCGAAGGGCTCTCAGCTGCCATGGGAAGACCTCATCTTCAGTCCCAGATGGTTTCCATCAGGCCTGGGTATACCACAGGAAGTATGTCTTACAGACAGGCACCTACACACACACACACTCACACACACACACACATACACACACACTCACACTCACACACACACAGACATACACACACACTCACACACACTCACACTCACACACACACTCACACTCACACTCACACTCACACACACACACACACGAGATTTACCAACCTGCACCAATGTGAATACAGATACACAATTACCTACATACACACATGTGGTTACACTGTCATGCACATGTATCAATAGACACCTATACTCATCTGCAGACTCATACAGGTAGACACCCACATGCAACCACATGCACACACACAAGCACATTAACACATAGATACACACTGACACATTGACACACTGCACAGAGGCTCCCTGAGGCGCACAAACATGCACACTAAAAATGTACAGAGTTGCACAGACACACAGAAAAATTATACAGACAAGGTCACCATGCCACACACTCCTAACAGCACAGGCAGCCATCTGCATGGACTCACACACTGACACAATACTTTGCCATACAGGGACACACAGACACACCAGACAGACACACAGGCCGAAGCACATCTATACGGGAAACACCTGCACACGCACACACACATGCTGACCCACACCCACGTGTTCTAACAAGCCCGGAGTCTCCAGGGCTCTCCTGCAGCTGTTGCCCACCCCCAGGGGGAGCCGATGTCCCCAGGGAACAGAGGTTTCCCATCCCATCTTTAGCTCTGCCGGGTCCTGCATGACATCAACGGTCCCCTCGGTGCTGATGCTGCCGGGAGTTCCGAGCTGGGGCCAGTCCGGCGCCAGGCACAGACACTTCAGCCCTTGTTGGGAGAACAGAGAGAGGCTGTGTTGTCCATTGCCCATCCTCCGGCTCCAACTGCTGGTTCTCTCAAAGGCCTCTCCTCAGGCCGGTGCAGGTATGTGGGGCCGGGGAGGCCAGGGCCTGGCAGAGGGGCCATCAGAGTCAGCGCAGGAGAGGGTGTGGCAGCATCACAGGAGCGTAGGCCTGGGGCACAGGCTGTGCTCCCTATGGGCAGTTCTGCAGCTCGCTTTCTCAGGACTCCACAGAGCTGGGGGACTCCCTCCCTTCCCCGGTGGTCACTTTCTCAGCTCCCAAGAAGGCCATGGGGGGTGTGCCAGGTGCCCCCTTGTAAGGATGGGCAGTGTCTGCCCAGAGAGGCCAGGCTGCAGCCTGGGCCCCACAAAGAACCAAGGCTGTGGTCTTGGGATGCACCGTACCCAGCAGTTCCCGCAAGCTGACACCTCATCTGGGATGTCAGATGAGACATCAGCTCTTGGCCTTGGCCTTCCAACCAGGGGTGGGGCTGTGGGGCCCTGGACAGCCTGAGTCAGGCCTAGATATGCTAGCCTCCTCCAGCCTGCAGGGTGGGGCAGGGAAGACACAGTGCTCCCTCCTTTCACTGGGCCTAGACCAGCTGATCTGTTTAATCTCAACTAGACACTGGCCAGTCTGAGGACTCTCCATGGCATTAGTCCAAGGCCTCCAGGGCAGTGCCCTTTCAGGGGCTCTCTACAGGAATTCAGGGTTACAACATGCTTGTATGGGAGCCTGGGGAGCCCAGCCTGCCCCTCACAAGCTGTGTAATCCTAGCAAGTCCCTTTCGAGGCCTCAGGCTTCCCACTTGTGAAATGGGGGGAGGGGTGCAAACTTTTATGTTCTGCCAGAGTCCCCCCAGGCCTAGCCATCCTGGACTTTTGGAGCTGCCCTGGCTCACAGGGATCTTGCTACCTTGGCTGTCCTTGCAAAACACTCAGCCTGGGAGGAGCCATCCTGACCATTCTCCTTCCTTCCCTCCTGAGATGTTTGATTGGAGAGGCTGGGTCCAGTGGGTATCCTTTCCTGTCCCAGGGAGGGTTGCTGCCAAAGCTCAGGTTGTGGCAGGTGCATGGACGGGGTTGGGGAGGGGTGGTGAGGGCAGCGGTGCTTGAGACTCTAGGCAGGTGGAGCTAACTCCCCAGCCAGCTCTCTCATGCCAGCTCCTCCTTGTGCCCCCAGCACCCACCCTATCACTGTTACAGAATGGACTCTAGTGCCAGCCCGGCAGGGACTTCCAGTCCACAGGTGAGTGGGTCTTGGTTCCCCTGCCCACCAGCAGGGGGCTCACTTCCTTACATGGCTCAGGAAATCTATGCCAGCACCCGCCAGGAAGGTGGGTCATCCCAGACAGGACTGGGGGTCGACAGGGGTCACTCTGAGCTCACAGAAGTGAGCCATTTGCAGGATAAATAGAGAAGAGACTTGGGCAAAGGCTTCACGAAGTAAATGGGGTGGGAAAATAATGGGATTGGTCCGAGGAACAGCCTGTAGTAAGTCCTTGGACAGCGCTCTCTGGGCATCAGTTTTCTCACCCGCACAACTGGCATGACAGCAGCCTCCCAAGGTGGTTGTGAGAAGCAGATGAGATGGTGGATGGGGGAGTGGGATGGGGAGAAGGGGAGAAGGAAGGAAGGAAGGAAGGAAGGGAGGAAGGAAGGAAGGAAGGAAGGAAGGAGCCTAGAATAGATCAGGGCCTGGGGCCCAGAGGAAAGGGAGCCAAGGAGTAGGAACCTGTTGTTATTAATCTCTTCTTTCTGTAAATGTCTTTAGCCTTCAAGGGCCAATGGGAACATCAACCTGGGGCCTTCAGCCAACCCAAAGTGAGTTCTGGTCTCTAAGGCAACTGTCCTCCCTGGCTCCCCTCAGGCCAGGTTCCCCTAGCCTTGGGAGTAAAATCCAAGCTCTCTGGTCTACCTTCAAGACCCTCTGTGACCTGGGCCCCGGACCACCTCCCAGCTTTACCCCCCACGAGTTCCCCAGCCTCTGCCCATGCTGAGCCCTGGGCCTGGGATGCGCCCCAAAGTCTGCATTATTAGCAGCTCCCTGCCCTTCAGGCCCTTCTCAGGCTTTGAGCCGGCTCCCTCACCTCTATGCATTGTGTCTGGGTTTCTCCCCACCTTACCTGCTGTTTACCTGATCGTGAGATCCCCAGGTGCAGGGCCAGACTTACAAGCCCCTCTTGGCTGGGAGGACATGTCATTCTTCAGTGGTGAGGAGGCCGGGCTGTAGGAAAGCTCCCTGTATTCCCCACCTTCAAAGTGAAAAAGAAGTCTGGACTTGATCTCAGGATGGAGTTTCAGAATCTTGCAAATGCTGACCCATGTTCTTCCCTCTTCCCCCAGTGCCCGGCCCACCGACTTCGACTTCCTCAAAGTCATTGGCAAAGGCAACTATGGGAAGGTGAGTAACATGGTGAAGGTGGGAAGCCTCGGCCTCCCCTTCTCTAGCCTCCTCCACCCCGTGCCTATCACCTGCATGTGCAAAGAGGGAGCTCACAACCTGCAGGTCCAAGGATGCAGGGCCGGCGCTGGGGCCATCAGAGGAGTGGTCACCTGCGGGACCTTGCATTTCTGCTTCCGTTCAGGTCCTCCTGGCCAAGCGCAAGTCCGACGGGATGTTCTATGCAGTGAAGGTGCTGCAGAAAAAGTTCATCTTAAAGAACAAAGAGGTACCAGAGCTCAGGCATAAGCATTTCCTCTCCTATTCCTCGACTCCCAGGCTCGGGGGGCTTCCCCAGATGGGTCCCAACTGTGAAGGGTCCATGGGCTGGGTGCAGAGGGGGTCTGAGCAGGGGGCCAGCTGGTGCCAGGATGCTTACCATTCTCGAGGAAGGCAGGCCAACCACGTCAGCCACAGGCTGCAGGAGGAGCCAGTCCCAGCCCTGTGCCTCCCTCCGATGAAATCTGGGTCCCACAGTGGACAGTCCTTTGCCCTGCCTGGGTGCCCGCCACCTCATCTGTGCAGAGTGGGGTAACACCTCCCACTCTTAAAAGGCCCTCCCAGCCACAGCCATCCTGGAGTTCCAGATGCTTTAGCTGATCCAAGTCTCTTTACTGGTAACTCCAACCCCACAGAGGGCTGGATATTAAATCAGAGCCCCCAGGATAGGGAATTAGCGTTAACAAGGACATCAGGAGGGTGGGTAGGGGCGGTCTTCCTGAGGGAGGTGGCCTTGCAGCTGGTCTTGAAGGTAGGGTTCTATGGTCTGAAAAGAGGGTGCCCAGGCAGGGGAAACAGCACGAGCAAAGGCGTGAATGTGGCCTCGTGGATGCAATCATCATATTTTCTTTGTTCATCACCCCTGATCTGGGGGCTGGAGCTGCATCCCTGTGAACTGACTGGGGATGAGACTGACCACGCAGACCCCTGACTACTAGGCAAGGGGCCGGGCCTGGCAATGAGGAGCCACAGGGCGCGTCTGAGGAGGGGCAGGGGAGCCCCACCAGCGAGCCGTGGGCTGTGACACGACCCCTGTCTGTGACCCCACAGCAGAACCACATCATGGCGGAGCGCAACGTGCTTCTGAAGAACGTGCGGCACCCCTTCCTCGTGGGCCTGCGCTACTCCTTCCAGACCCCCGAGAAACTCTACTTCGTGCTCGACTACGTCAATGGAGGAGAGGTGGGCGGGTCTGCAGGGGCTCCCCTGGGCCAGCTCTTAGCTGGGAGCTGTCCATCCCACATACCCCCTGTGTGCCAGGTTCTGGAATGATCTCACATCATCCATACAACAGACCCATTTTGTAGGGGAGGAAACGAGGCTCAGGAGCTAATCACTTGCTCAAGGCCACCAGCCCATACCTGGCAGAGCCAGGACTGGAATGTGGATCTGTATTGACTTCCCCCTGCAAAGCTGCCCGACTCACCTGGAAGGTCAATGTTACCGGAGCTCTGTGGTCAAGATTTGCAATGCCCCCGTTTACAACAGAGGCCAAGGGGGTGGTGGTGGCCTATCACTGTGGTAAATGGAGATCTGAGGCCCCCTGGTGACCTAGCAGCACAGCTGCATGAGCTGAGTTCCTTCCTGGCCTTCACTCTGGCTCTCTTAGTGAGGCCTCCTCAGTGACCCCAGATTTAAGCTCTATGATCTCATGCCTTTGGCCTGATGCTGAGAGGGAAGTTTTTGTCCTGCATCCCTAAGTCCCCTGATGGAGTTGGAAGGTTTTCCATGCTAGCAAAAGATGCCAAAGCAATTGGCCCACAGGCAGATCTCTCCTGGGCTGAGTTTGACTTGGTCATGATAATCTTAGCACCTGGGTTGGAGGAAAAACCTGTTTTTGAACCACCCAGTTTCAAATCCCAGCTCTGCCAATTGCAAGCTATGTGACCTTGGCAAGTCACCTGACAGCTCTGACCCGTCCCAGACTCCTCTTAAGTGAAACTAGTGTCATATTTGATACCTTGAAGGCCGGTCATTAGGATTAAATAAGAGATGTGAAAGGTTCTGGCTTGGAGCTTGGAACATAGGAGGTGCTCAATCCATGTGAATTAATCTCTCCTGCTGACCCTATGGACACCCACAACTGCCGTATGGGGTGGGGGCAGACATGCCTTTTATTGTCTGAGTACATTGCTGTTCAGAGAGGGGTGACTTGGGCCGCTGCCCCCCTGCACTCCAGCAGCTGGAGCCCCCCCAGGAAACCCTCTCACAGTGTCCTCCTCCTCCAGCTCTTCTTCCACCTGCAGCGGGAGCGCAGGTTCCTGGAGCCCCGTGCCCGGTTCTACGCTGCCGAGGTGGCCAGTGCCATTGGCTACCTGCACTCCCTCAACATCATCTACAGGTGAGGCCTGCCTGTGGCTCAGGGGTTGTGTGGCCCCTAAATCCTGATGAAATGCCAGTGAACTGGTCCTTTGTCTGAGGAAAATGCCCCCAAGGGGTAGGGTGAGAGCCTCCTCCTTTCTAGGATCAAGTGCCCATCCCCCCTGGACACCTCTGTGAGCCTCCATGAATAGTCCTCCCGCCAGGCACCCAGGTCCCCAACTGTCCTCACTCACTGGCTGAGCCGTCACAGCGTGCTTTTCTCATTTTATGCAGGGACCTGAAACCAGAGAACATTCTCTTGGACTCCCAGGTTTGTGTGTGTGTGTGTGTGCACCTGTATGTATGTGCATGGTTGCAATGAACGTTGTGTACCCACATGTAGGTATATGGGTGTGCATGCACTGTGTAGAGATGCATTCAAATATATATGTGCACATACCCATATATGTGTACATATGTATATACGTGCATCATGTGCACACAAGACCATGTATATACGTACGTGGGTGTGCACGTGTGTATACAGGAGGTCTATAGAGGGCAGAGGAGGGGCCAGGTGGAGGCTTGTGGATTTTGTAGTCCCTCCATGTCTTAGATTGGGTTCCCTGGAAGCAGACCCAGAGATGAAGCATTGGGTGCAGGTTACAGGGGCCACTCTCAAGAGATCTCCCTTTAAGGGGGCGAAAGGCAGGATTGGGCAGAGGAGGAAGCTCACCTCCCCCTTGTGGTTGGAAGTGAGGCCTCAGATGATCTTACGGGGCAGGGACGACCCCAGATGGAATGGCTCTTTGGACCTGTTCCAAACTGAGGCAAGGAGGCTGGGCATTTGTGCCCCTGCATCAGTCAGTCATTGGGTGGGATTGCCCCTAGGGAGGGGCCTAACTTTGGGTGAGGGCAGTGTCCCAGCACGGGTGGGGGGATGGGCATGACAGCTCCCAAAGGGGAGGTTTGGGCAGAATCCCACAGTATCCACTCACTCCACGACCTCCACCAGCCACCCACTTGCCCAGGTGCACAAGGTGTGGCTGCTTTCTGGGCCCCAGCCCTCTGTCAAGGGACTTCTGCCACCGGGTCTCTCCAGCCAGGACATTCTAGAGCTGGCAGTGTAACAGGGCATGGGTCTGAGTCTGTGATGAGCTGGGCAGACAGTGGAATGCCATCTCCCCACCTTGCCCCCTGTGCAGCTCCCAGTCCAGAAGCCCTGGGCCGCTGAGTAAAACCTCAGCCTGTGTAGGGGCATCAGACCCCAGAGGTGCTGCCCTGGGGGCAGGCATTGGGCATTGGGGTTAGGCCTGGCCATACCATTCTCTTAGACCACGCTCCTGTCCCTGACTTCCCTCCTCTGCAGGGACACGTGGTCCTGACAGATTTTGGCCTCTGCAAGGAAGGTGTAGAGCCGGAGGAGACCACGTCCACATTCTGTGGCACCCCCGAGGTGAGCTAAAACTCCGAAGAGAAGGCAGGCTGGGTGGTTGAGGCCACAGCTCCTGATTAGAGGTGACAGGTGACAGCTAAAGGGGCTCACTCCTTCCCCCCAAGCACTTCTCCTGAGCTGCTTGTGCACTCGGCCTTGGTTTCCTCATCGGCATAATGGGGGCATCAGCTCTGGGGGCTGGGGACCCCCGCCAGCTGCTGGGGACTCTGCCACAGTGATGTCCAATAGAAATAGAAACAGAAATGCAAACCATATAGGCAATTAAAATTTTCCAGCAGCCATGTTTAAAAAGTAAAAAACAAGTGAAATTATAATTTTAATAATATATTTAAATTAACCCAATATGTATATATAAAATATTGTCATTTCAGCATACCATCAATATAAAATTGTTGAGATATTTTATTCTTTTTTTCTAAATTTTTGAAATCTGTGTGTATTCTACACTGATGGGCCATCTCAGCCACACTTTAAGTGTTTGATAGCCACGTGTGGACAGTGGCTGTGGTCCTGGACAACACGGTCCTACAGGGTGAAGTCCATGTGCAACAGGAGGGACAATTATGATCAGGGCTTGCAAGTGTGAAGGAAGCACTTTATGTGTGGACAGTGGCTTTGGTCCTCCATGTGCAACAGGAGGGCCTAGCTTGACAATTAAGATCAGGGCTTGCAAGTGTGAAGGAAGCACTTTACTACTGCCCTCTTTCAGCCACAAAGAGCCTGGGGGGTTAAAATGTATGTGTCCCAGCAGTAATTCACACGTCTGTCTGTCCAGCCAAGGCCTCTATGCAGCCCCGGGGTTCAAACCTTCCCTTAAACTCCGGACTGAAGGGTCACTAGTTGCTTGGACAGATGTCTGGGTGGGGTTGTGGGCCTGAGGCTGTAGGACCTGGCATGGGGCAGGACTTTAGCTGCTCCATTTTTCTCCCTATGCCTGAAAGGTCGGGTTCCAGATCTCAGCTGGGCCTCCTCAGTTTGGTTTTAGTAGTTGATGGACAGATGACCCCTCTGAGCAGGAGCCATTGTATGTGTTTGTGTGTGGCAGGAGTCTGCTGGACAGAGCTGGCCCCCCAAAGCCCGACAGCCCAGCCATCCTTTCCCTGGACGTTGCCAGGGGCAGGGAGTAGGGGATATGGCTCGTGCAGGAGACATGTGGCCCCAACATGTCATCTCTTCCACGATCTTTTTCTCCAAGTGCCTTGTTTACAGATGGGGAGACTGAGGCTGAGGGTCTTTCAGATATGTGTGCTTCCCCTCAACAGTACTTGGCTCCAGAAGTGCTTCGTAAAGAGCCTTATGATCGGGCGGTGGACTGGTGGTGTCTGGGCGCCGTCCTCTATGAGATGCTGCATGGCCTGGTGAGTGGGGTGCAGCTGACTGCTAGGGACATCTGGCTCTGGGGAGAGATGGGGGTGGTCTCTCCCTTACGTCACCTGCTCAGGCTCCTCAAGGAACTGAACAGGCCACTCCAAGCTAAAAAAGATGATGCCAGCCCTGGCCGGTTTGTCTTAATGGTTAGAGCTTTGGCCTGCGGACCGAAGGGTCTCAGTTCGATTCCCAGTCAAGGGCACATACCTGGGTTGCAGATTTGATCCCCACTCCAGAGACAACCAATCCATGTGTCTCTCTCACACTGATGTTCCTCTCTCTCTCTCTCTCTCCTCTATTTTCCTCCCTTCCTGTCTCCCTCCTTCCCTTCCTTCCATTCTCTCTAAAAACAAATTAATGGAAAAAGTACTAAGGTGAGGATAAAAAAGAAAATGACACCAAAGTGAATATTACAAGTGTTATATGTAGTTTTTTAATACTGTCAGTTCAGCACTTTATAATACACTGTCTCTTATGTTACTCCTCTTGTGCCTCAAAACAGCCTTTGGAGGGTGGCTGCAGGAAATGGAATTGTTCTTCGTTTAATTAGTGGAAAGGGAAACTGAGACCCAGAAGGGTCTCAGTGCTGGTAGGTTGTGGGACCAGCCCTGGACCCGATCCTCGGCTGCCTGCTTGGGTGGAGGCAGTGCAGTCGCCCCTGGCCAGGCCTCACTCTGGGCAGCTTCGTGGATATGACGAGCAGGCTCCGTGGAGTCTGGAGAAGGAAGAGCTGGCCGAGGAGGAGGGAGGAAGAGCATCAGGAAAGGTGGGCTCTGGATATGGTTGGGGCCTGGCTCTCTTCCTAGCTATGCCACAGGCTTTAATCTCTTTGCGCCTTGTCTTCTCATCTGAACAATTACTACCTGTTTCGAAGGATGGTTGTGGGCTGGGATGAAATGATGAAGGGGAGAGCGTGAACTCTGCAAAGTCCAAAGTTGGTGCACAAGCCAGATTCGGAGAGGTGGGATAGGGGATGCTCCAGGAGGCCCACAAGCCTTACACCCATGAAAAGAGACTCCTCAGCCTTCCCAGCAGCCCCCTCCACTGTGCTAGAAGCCCAGGTCTCTCTGTCCCTCTCCAGTCTGCCCTGTGAGCCATTGTACAAGACGTGGTCTGGCTGAACCCTTCCAGTGACCCAGCTTTGCTCCAAGTCTCTCTGAGCCCTGTGTCCACTTGAACATGGATGACCCTGCAGCTCTCTCCCTCTCTCACCAGCCACCCTTCTACAGCCGAGACATCTCCCAGATGTACGAGAACATTCTGCACCAGCCACTACAGATCCCTGTGGGCCGGACGGTGGCTGCCTGTGACCTCCTGCAAGCCCTTCTCCACAAGGACCAGAGGCAGCGGCTGGGCTCCAAAGCAGACTTTGTAGGTGACTTGCCAGAGGCGCCCTGGCGCCTTCCTGCAGAGGCAGCTCAGCACAGTGACAGGCGTCCAGCTGTCTGTGAAACCAAGCACGGCTAATTCGTTCATTTGGATATTCACAGCTGCTGCTGCTTGACTACTCCCTTCAGTCTAGTTCTATTCAACCAATATTTACCGAGCACCTACTATGTGCCAGACATGGAACTAGATGCTAGGGATTCAATAGACTGGTCTCTGCCCTTATTAAATTTTTTTTGGGTGGGGGGAGGGCAGACAACAAACATTATATACAATTATTACAGAGTATGACAAGTATCAGGAAACAAATGGACAACGAGTTAAGATAGAAAATAATGAGAGGGGGTGAATTCACACTGCTGTAGTCAGGGAGGGCCTCCCCAAGGAGGGGACAATTAAGCTGAGACTTGAAGGAAGAGAAGGAACCACTCATGCAGAGCTGGGAGGAGGCATCCCAGACACAGAGCAGCATGCGCAAAAGTCCCGTGGTGGGAACGAGGAGGAGAGTGAGTGGTATGCTTTAGGGTGTTTTGAGGAGGGGTATGGTAGGACCCAATTTAAGTTTTAATAAATTCCTCTGGCTTCTGTGCAGAGTGGACTGGACCGGCTTTTCACAGACATCTGAGCACTTCCTCCCTACCACTGCCCAGGCTAGGCACTCAGGATATAGAGACCAATAAGTCGCAGTCCATTCCCTTAACAAGTTTATATGTTTTTCGCTAAAGTAGCATTTAAAAAATAATCTTACATTCTCTCCGCAACCAAAGATCATTTGGATTTATAGAAGGAAGACCACACTACTCTTCTCCCTGGAACTTTGTTTTCTCTTCCAGCATCATGGTTGAGATGCATGGCCTAGGAGACAGGCTACCTGGGTTCAGATCCCTCCTTCACCACTTACACTCAACTTCTGTGAGCCTCAGTTTCCCCATCTGTAACAACAGCACCTAGCTTGAAGCTGCTACAAAAGTCAAATAGATTAAGATATGCAGAGCACTTAGGCTAACGCTTAGCACATAGTCAGTGCTTTTTAAGTGTTTTTACAGACAGCCCTAAATGTCAGATACTGTGAAGTGTAACAACATTTAGGGCATTTGCCTACCCACCCCTGGACAGCTTAAAGAATGTGACTTTCATGAAGATTGGTCCACTCCTTCTAGGTGGAAATTCAAAGAATATCCAGAAAAAGTCCCTCCAGTTACCCAGTTCCTTAATTTAGAGGCAACCAGTGCTACCAATTTTTTGGGTATCTTGGATATTTTGGATCGGCTTTTTAACAAATCCAGAGGTACTATTCTGATACAGTGGCTGGAGAATCATTCTTTGAGAAACACAGATAGAGAGGGGGTCCTGCTGGGACAGGAGAAAGTTGGTACTGACATTGGTTTGGAGGAAAGAAGTGGTGAAACAAGCCCAAGGCAGAGTCCTAAATTCTGGGTCTCTGGGAACCTGCAGCTTTTCTTGGGGACTTCCTTTCTAAACCTTTCATAGTGACTTCATTTATCTATTTCTCTGGTTTGCATTCTGAAAGAGTCAGCATGCACTAAGGCAGAGTAGGGCGGGGTCCCCAAGATTCCCTGGGAACCCTGAGGGCAGGGTCTGCTGTCTTGTTCAATGACATACCTTCAAAGCCTTCTGGTGCCGGCACAGAGTAGGTGTTCAGTAAGTAGATGTGGAATGAACAGTTGTCATGGGGGAAAAGGGTTGGGTTCCTGGTGATCCAGAAAGGGAGTGTCTGGCTGAAGAATGCTCGCTCCATTGTCCCAGGAAACCAGTCAGAGGTACAAGTTACTTTCTTTGCAAAGGTTTTAGGGCTTGGCAGCCAGCTGCCAATAGAGCAGGGCCATGTGGGGTGGGGAGGGGAGCACCCAGGGAGAGTGCTGCTTCTGATCAGCACCTTCTTTCTGCAGACTGAGATCAAGAACCACGTATTCTTCAGCCCCATAAACTGGGATGACTTGTACCACAAGAGGCTGACCCCACCCTTCAACCCAAATGTGGTAAGAGGTCACTGAGTTCGACTCTAGCTGCTAGGGCTGGGCGCAGTTTGGAAGGTGTCTGGCCAACTCTCTACGGATGGAAAAACCAAGGGTCCAGGCGGCTCCATGGTTTGTCCAAGGCCACATAGTAAGTTAGAGGCAGAAACTGGTCTAGAACCCAAAAGTCCTGACTGCCAGTTCAGCTCTGTGTGATGAGCCATGCTTCTGCGCCTTTATTTATAGCACCGGTAACTCTCATTTAAAGTGCTCTGTGTCATGTAGCATGCCCAGAGGGGGAAAAGCCCTGTAAAGACATTTTCCCCCCATGGGTTCGCTTTTCCCCTGATAAGTAAAATGGCATGTAGTCATTGTAGAAAGTATGCAAAACAAAGAAGTTTAAAGCAACAGGAAGAAAAAGCTTATTAGCTCACTACCCAAGAGAAACCATAGCTGGCATGTTTCCTTCCAGTCATTTTTCTATGTGTGTGTGTGTGTTTACATAGGTCATATTTTATATGTACACATATTTCTCCTCCACACCCCCTTTTCTTTGCTAAATACTATGCCATTATTTCCCCAAGTCATATAAAACTTTGTAAGGGCCATTTTAAGTAGCTCATACTATTTCAACCCTATGCTGGTGATATAATTTATTCAACTAGGCTCCTAACGGTGAACATTAGATTATTACAACTTTTTATTTATCATAACGTACTGATGAACATCTTTAAATGTCTATCGTCCAGAATTCTGATTATTTCCTTGTGATGGAGTCCAGATGGGGAATGACCAGGTCAAAGACGGTGAATGTTTCTAGGTTCTTGATTCATACTGCCCTCGCTGTGTGTTAGGAAGGGCAGTCTATTTCCGACCAGTAGAGGCTGCGGGGGAATTCTCATCTTACTCTCTGCAGCATGTGAGGTTGCTTTTAACTTTGCAAATATGTTAAGTATAAAATGGCATCTAGCATTGTTTTAATTTCTATTTCTTTGATTGACAGTGAAGGTGGTTCGTTTTTAAATGTTAATTAGCAGTGCTAGTATGAAAGAAGCTCAGTCCAGGCACCTGAAAAGCTTCTTTATCTGGGGACATTTAAAAAGAGTTTGAGGATAATATTGAACATACACCCTGGAGAGGGAATAATATGCAAAATAGTAGGCAGGGAGGTAATATAATACAATGCGTGAACTTTAGAGTGAGGCATAGTGGGGGTGGATTCCTGGCTCTGTCACCTATCACTTGTGAGACCTTGAGTAAGTTTTTGTTTTTTAATTAATACTCACCTGAGGATATTTTCTCCATTGACATTTTTAGTGAGAGTAGAAGGGGGTAAGAGGGAGAGAGAGATATACGAGAGAAATATCAATGTGAGAGAGACACATGAATTGGTTGCCTCCCATACGTGCCCTGACCGAGGCCAGGGATTGAACCTTCAACAGAGGTACATGCCCTTGACTGGGAATCAGACCCATGACCCTTTGGTGTGTGGCCAATGCTCTAAACACTGAACCATGAGGGCCTGGGCTTGAATAAGTTTCTTTAGCACCAATGTCCTCGTTCATTAAAAAACAAACAAACAAGATAACAGAAAATACCTGCCTTGTCTAGGGCCACACAGCATAATAGGGCCAGGATTCACATTCTGGTCTTGGAATGGTAAGTCCTGAGCTAGTATCACTGTGTCCTGTGGCCTTTTTGAGAATCTGGGAGCCATGGTCTCTTTGGTTCTACAGGCTAAGGCTTGCATGCTAGAGTGGATCTATGGACCTTTCCACTTGCTCACTTGCTTACTTCATAAAACCCAGGTGGCTCAGTCTTCTCCACAGACTGTGCCTCCTCCACAGAGAGGTTGTATTGGTTAGCTCTTGCTGCGCAACAAGCCACCCACTATGTGGCTTAAAACAATTTTTTATTTCATTCTGATTCTATGGGCTGGTTGGGTAGTTTCGTTGGCCTGGGCCAGGCCAGCTGACTCTACTGGGCTCTCTCATGTTAGCAGCCAGCTAGCAGGTCAGCTGGCAGTTGATGATCTAGGCTTGCCTCACTCACATGCCTGGCAGTTGGCTGGCAGTTGGGTACTGGGCTCTCCTTCACGAGGCCTCTCAGACTCCAGCACGATGGCCTGGGCTGGGTCACATGGCCTTTAGGGCTCCAAATGCAGCAAGATAAACTCCCAGTGTGTGTTTTTCAAGCCTCTGATTGCGTCCCATTTGGTAACGTCCCATTGGCCTAAGCAAGTCACATGGCTAATTCATATTAAAGGGATGGGGAAAGAGACCCCACCTCTGGGTGGGGATGGAGAGTTTGTGACCATTTTTACAACATCCCTCACACAAAACAGCCAAAGCAGCCCCAGTCACTCTCTACTATATTACCCTAAGTTATATTTTTTATAAGATTTATCAACACCCAAAATTATCCGTTTGTGTAGATGCTAATTATTCATCCTCCTACCCTCTGCATAATATAAACTCTGTGAAAGCAGGGGCCCACTCTATTTTGTTCTCCTGTATTCCCAGGGCCATGAACAGTGCCTGGTAGGCATTCAGTAAGTACATGTTGACTAGACTTGTCTTGGGGTTATTGTGTGGTGGGCAGGGAGGGTGATAGGGGGTTAGAGGGATTGATAAGTGGTTATTGGACCTCGTGGAATAAATAACTAATGTAGCCCAGCCAGTATGGCTCAGTGGTTGAGCATCGACTCATGAACCAGAAGGTCACGGTTTGATTCCTGTCAGGGCACATGCCCGGGTTGCGGGCTCGATCCCCAATAGGAGTATGCAGGAGGCAGCCTATCTGACGTTTCTCTCTCTCTCTCCCTGAAATCAATAAAAACATATTTAAAAAAATAGAAAAAATAACTAGTAAATGCATGGGTGACAGTTAAGTAGGGGTGTCCAGAAGGCACTCAGAGGGGAGGCCTAACATCCCTTTCAGGATTTGTGGGTTCCTTAGGCAGCTCTGACCCCAGTGTTCCCTTCTCATCATTGGCATTTATTCATTCATAGGAAGGACCTGCTGACTTGAAACACTTTGACCCAGAGTTCACCCAGGAAGCCGTGTCAAAGTCCATTGGCTGCACTCCCGACACTGTGGCCAGCAGCTCCGGGGCCTCAAGTGCATTCCTGGGATTTTCCTATGTGCCGGAGGATGAGGCCGTCTTGGATTGCTAGGAGACGAGTACCTGTGACGCCACTGAAGACAGCGGGTACCTGTAAGGACTTACCTTCAGCTGCTAGAAACAGAGACTCAAAGCACCAATGGCTCAAATAAGACGATTTTCCCAGCACATAAAGAACTGTGTTAGGTGTCCAGGCCTGGGACAACAGGGCATCAGATACTCAGAGGCTTTCTGTATTTTGCTCTGCCATCTTTGGCAAATGGCTTCAATATCAATTGCTCCGTTATCATAAGGTGGTTACTGGAGCTCTAGCCATTGCTTTTGTGTTCTGAGTAGGGGAAAAAAGGAGGGAGGGAGAGAAGAGCAGAAGGACACTTTTACAGAACTTCCCAGAAGCCCCAACCAATGACTTCTGCTCGTTAGCCACCCATGCCTACCTGTCATGGAGGCTGGGATATGTGACTTATCACTGGCACATTATCACGCCTAATAACACAGGCTTTTGACACTGAGGAGGGGAAACATTGCATAGGTAACCAGAAGGCCTCTTGGTGTTTACATTTTGATTTCCAAGTATAAAATGACAGAGATGTGACAAGCCTTTAGGGTATCACCCAACATCCTCTTATTTTCCTGTGTTGATGGTATCTCTTTGTTGTGGGTATTAGACACTTGTTATCAGGCTTGTCTGCTTGGCCTCTGAACCCCTTCCTATATTCAGGGGATATCCTACTTTGTGAGTCTGGATGAGGGGCCATAACCTCCATTTACAGTAGCTGAGATTCTAGAAAGTGACTTTTGCAGCCTCCCCTGCAGCTAGGGCCAGGCGTGTGGCCCAGGGACACTTGTGCCAGATTTTGACTCAAAGAAGGGACGGGAGCTCTCTTTCATGTAGCAGCTGTGGTGACAGCACCCACAAAGCTGAGTTCCTGGTGTAGAAGTGGCAACACTGTAAATTGGAGCAGTTGGGACTCAGTGGCAGCAGCGCCAGTTTCTTCATATCAATCTGAGATGTCATTCCCGTCATTCCTGGGAAGCCGAGTCTCGACTCTAGCTTTTGAATAATCTTGAGAGCTTCTGATCCTCTTAACACCCTCTTTTTTGGCTGAATTAGCCCAAATCAGCTTCAGAACAGCAGCCTATGCTGAACTAGTTTCTGTGCTAGATTCTTTCAAGTCTACTATCAGTTTTTATCTAAACAACCCCAAGGTATGAACTATTACTGTCCCCTTTTACCAAGGAAGAAACAGGGTCAGAGTTGTTCCCTAGCTGGTCACATAGTAAGGGTCTGAGCTGGGACTTAGAGCCACATAAGCTGACTCAAGGGCTCTCACATGTATCCTTTGTGCTCGTCTGCCTCTCGCCGTTAGGTCCAACAGAATGGCCATCAAGACCTCTAGTGAAAACCAAATCTGGAATTAATCAGAAAAAACGAGGTGGTGGGAAATGGGGTGAAGATGAGACATTGAACTGGAGGCTCATGGTCTGAGCCTGGCTGCCAAGTTCATGCTGTGCTCCACCTCCCCTGCCCCTGTATGTTTGGCAGTTCTAAGGCCATGGGGAGCCCAGGCCTTGGACAGGGCCGGAGGCTGGTGCAGAGCTTCCCAGCCACCTCTGGAGCTCCATGTATTCAAAATTAGTCATTTCTCAAGGTAATTCTGGACAGAACCTGAGCACATCACCTCATGAATTCAGAACACCCTGCACTTGCAGAATGGATCATGCTGCTTTATTTCAGTGGAAAGGGGTTTCCTTTTCACAAAGGATTCATCACCTCCTTCTGGGTGGTATTATTAGCTTTTTGGTTTGTGGGAAAGAGAGGGACTGTCTTAACATCAGTGTGTGTTATGATTTTTATTGCCTTTTTCTCTTCAGTTCCAATCTTTCCCTTCCATTTTTCCAGGGCAGTCCCCTGCCCCATGAACTACAGGGGATGAAGCCGAAGACCATGGAAAACACACCAATGACACTGACACGGGAGACCAAAGCTGGGTCAGCAGAGCTGTTGTCACCCTTTGGCCTGCACTGAGAATTCTGAAAGTCTGATTTGATTCCTATCTTAATAGTGTCTGTTAACTGACAAATGTGGAACATGAGGGAGGGGCCCCAATTCCCCCAACTCCCCAGAGCAAAATTCAAGATTCTAATTGTCTGAAACATGCTGGTACTGCCAAACGTACACAATCTGCTATAGATTAGGAAACCCATAATGACTCTCTCTGTTCTAAGACTATAAGATCACAAAAATTTCAGGATAGAAAATAAAAATGAAGAAAAACTATGATATTGATCATGCTATGCCTATGTTTATTGAGCACATTCTGAGTATCTACAATCCTTACAGTAAGCCAGCACTTAGAAATTAAACTTCCCTTTATAAATAAGGAACATTTGCTCAGAGAGATTAAGCAACTTGCCCAGAGTCACCCAGCTGGTACAAGGCACAGCCAGGAATGAAACTTGGTGGCAGCTGAATCTAAGACATTTGCTCTTTCCACAACTCCCAACAGTGGGAGACGCGCTCTGGACAGGTACTCTTGTTCTTCTAGCAAACACTGACTCTACATCAAGCAGACGGGTACCAACACTCAAGTGGCACCGCCTACTCTCTGCAGAGGAAACGCATCGCTTCCATTTTTATCACCAAAGACTGTAGTCACCCAATTTTGCACCAAAATACAGCATCCCCGGGAAGACAATTCCGAATCACCCTCCTCCACGTTTGAACTTGGCAATGACAGTAGTTGTGAAAAGGCAGCACGAGTTTTAAGATCCCTACACTCCTGCCACTCTGCACAGGCTGAAGATCCTAACAAACATAAATTCAGATAGAAACTGTCCGCAGTCTGCTCTCACTGGGTTGGCCCGCGAGGCGGTGGCACTGCACCAAGGTCCGCACGTCCAGAGCGCTCCCCTGGGCGCAGGAAGGCCGTTCGCTGGCACCTGCGCGCTCTCAGGCGACGGCTCTTCCGCACCAGCAGCTCCTGCCGGAACCCTCTTCCCAGCCCTCGCCTTAATGAGTGTCCCTCTCCTTTCATATCGCTGCTCATCGGGGCGCCTTTCGGCCCAGCTCCGGCCCCTCGCAGCTCCCTCAAGACAGTTTATATTTTCACTTTTTTCTAAGATCTGACCAGGTCTAACTCCTCGCTGGGAGACGCCGAGACGGCGGGTTCATCGCCAAATCCAGGGTCTGTTACTGTGGTGCTCAGCGTGGCAGGACAAATCAAAGAGAAAGAACGATCTCATGTCACCCTTCTCATTACTAAACGCTCCTCCGGGAAGTCGTCCCTGACCTCCCTGGGAGCTCAAACCCACGCGCATCGCTCTGCATGTCCCAGGCCCGGGGCTCCCGGCGACCCGGCGCCGTCTCCAGATCTCAGCCGCTAAGCCCCGCTCCCTGCCCCTGGGCGCCTGCGCTCTGAGGATCGGTCTGGGGCGTTCCTCACCCACACCGGGGACCGGAAGTCTTCACTATTCTTCATCCTCGGGGTCGAGCGAAGTTCAGGCCCTTGGGACCTACCATTTATACCAGCCTTTAATAAGACTTGATATTAAAGACACAATTAAATCGGTTTATCTTTGACCTAAAATCAATCCACGTTCTATCTGGATTTAACCCCATCCAACATAATGGTACAGTCCCATAGAAGTCCCGCCCCTACCACCACCGGCGTCTTCCGTTCTGTCGTCATCTCGTGGCTCCGAGGTACGCCCACGCCCTTCCCAGCGCGCCGCTCAGCCTCCGCCGTTGCTAAGAGGCCTTGGATACCTGGCGGCGGGATGCTGGGCGGCGTCAGGTGAAGATGGTGGTCACCGGGCCTCAGGTAAGAAGAGCTCCGACCGTGACGGGCCAGCCGGGGCGTTGGGGCGGCCTGGCGCTGTCCTCGGGGCCCCGGGGCCAATCTTACGGAAAATAGAGGCGCCCTGGAGTAAAGTAAACTGGGCACCAGGTAGGCCGGAATCCCCGACCCTGGACTGGGCTCGAGTCTCCGTCGCCTCCGGCTGCGCGGGTTTTCAGTGGTCCTGCAGAGTGTGAAAGCGTTGGGAAAGGACTTGTAACGTATTGGCCCCGTTCCCTTTTCCTAGGAATCCCGCTTTAGGAATCTGCCCTGCAGCAAAAATAATGGCAGAGGTAGAAATATGTAAATTCCAGTGGCATCTATGTTGGCACGGAATTGAAAAGATGCCCATGAGGGCGGTGGTTCAGTTCATTATGGAGAAAGCAGAGTACGATGTTGTGTATACACACAAAAACCAAGCATGCACAGGGATGGAATGAAACAGGAAAAGATAGCTGTGGTGGGTTCATGGGGCATTTAAAAAAATCTGACAAAATGACTTTAGAGTTAAACTGCAAAAGTAAATATGTGAGACTAGCCAGGGAAATCTAAAAATTAAGAGTAATAAGGTGTGTGTAAAAACTGAAATTTTAAAAAAAAGTAATAAGGGGATTAGCTCTCCAGTATCACCAGAAATTATAACATAACCAGAGGCCCAGTGCACCAGATTCATGCGCTGGTGGTGGTGGGGGGGGGGGGGGGCGTTCCTCTCAGCCTGTCCTGTGCCCTCTCGCAGCCTGGGAGCCCTAGGGGTATGTCCGACTGACAGATTAGGTCTGCTGGCTAGGCCGGCAGTTGGACATCCTTAGCACTGCCTTGGAGCGGGGAGAGGCTCCCGCCACAGCCACTGCGCTTGCCAGCCATGAGCCTGGCTCAGGGCTTCTGTTCCCCCTGTGGGAGTGCGCTGACCACCAGGGGGCAGCTCCTGCATTGAGCCTCTGCCCCCTAGTGGTCAGTGCGTGTCATAGCAACCAGTCATTCCACCATTTGGTTGATTTGCATAATAGCCTTTTATTATATAGGAAGGATTATAAAGCTGTAGTAATTAAAATAGTATGGAACTGAGCAGGAACTATAGGCAGGTAGAATGTATAGAATTCAGAATAAGATCCAGATATTTATAGTGATTTATTGTCAATCCCCAGTAGGGGGTGTGTGGGAGGCAGCAGCTGATCAATGATTCTCTCTCATTATTGATGTTTCTATTTCTCTCTCCCTCTCCCTTCCTCTCTGAAATCAATAAAAATAAATTTTTAAAAAAATCAGCATTGAGAAGTTTGATAGGTGTCAGGCAGCTTTCTAGTAAAAAGTAACAATTTATTTTCATCAAAATAAATTCCAAATGGACCACTATTTTTTTTATTGATTGATTTTAGAGAGAGAGGAAGGGAGAGAGATTGATTTGTTGTTCCACTTATTTATGCATTCATTGGTTGCTTGTATGTGCCCTGACTGGAGATCTAACCATAATTTTGGCATATCGGGGGGATGTTCTAACCGATTGAGCTACCCAGCCAGAGTCTCAGCATTTACATTTTTAAAAATGACATGCAAGTATGGGGAGAAAGCATTGTTGGGTGTATTCATAACCTTAGCATGGCAAAAATTCTTCTAATTAGGTCATGCAGTTCAGGAGCAAGAAAGGAAAAGATTAATACTTGTGACTCTAAAATTTAAAACCTTCTGTATGGCCTGCAAAATTTCACCAAATCAAAGAAAGCTCCTTCCTATAAGCTACGTTTAAAGACAGATTTGTGAAAATATTTGTTTAATGACCAGTTAGAAAAATATTAAACCCAACAGAAAAATAAGGAGAATATATGCACAAGGAAATCAGAAGAAATACAAGTGGCCAGTATAAACAGTAAAAGATGTCCATCTCACTAATTTTAAAGTGCTAATTAAAACTAAATGGGGTGCCTATCTTATTAGAAGAGATAAAAAGGATTAGAAATAGTATTAGTATTAGTGGAAATAAAAGTCACAGATTTTTGTAGGGCACTTTACTTAGCCATTCAATAGGTAGGAATTTATTCTACAAATATGGAAAGTGCATGTTCAAAGGTGATTGGTAATATTGTTTTACTAGCAAAATTTTGGGGGAAAAATGTCAATTTGTATATAACTAGTTTAATTATGGTATATCTATAAAATGGAATACTGTGCAGTTGTGTTTTTTTTTTTTTAAAAAAAGATCCCTAAGTACCAACATGGAAAGATGTGAAAAAATACAGAGTTAAGTGAAAAAAGAGTGTTGTAAAATAGTGCATATGATAAAAATCCTATTTTATAAATAAAACTACAAGTTATGAATGTATAAAAAGAATCTAGAAGACTATACCTCCATGTTGATCAATGTCACCCCAATAAACTTAATGTAAAAAAAAAAAGGAAAGGAAAAATAAGACTATACCTTATAGTTAACAGCAGTGAGCAGTAAGGAATCATGGTCTCCCACAGGGATAGGGTGAGGGCAGGGCAGGGCCATGTGAGTCGGCTGGTGGGAAGGCCAAGGCAAGAGACACGAGGTCACCAGGGTTGGCCGTAGGTTTCTGCAGCTATGCGTTTCACTCTCAACCTTTGAGAATTGCAGAGATTTCAGAGGTATGTTGCAGCTTCCTACCCTTTCTCATTAAATTAGAAGAAGTAGACACCTTTGTTTCTTTTGGAGTCTTTCTTTTGGACTGTTGGTTATTGTTTTTCTTTTTCTGATCCCTTCTTTTTTCCATAGGTAACCATGGAGAAGGAGCTTCGGAGCACCATTCTTTTCAATGCATACAAAAAGGAACTATTTACCACCAACAATGGCTATAAATCGATGCAGAAGAGACTTCGGAGCAATTGGAAGATTCAGAGGTGATCTTGTGGGTTGTTTTCCCTTCCAAATAATAATAGCCTGCTGCTAAAACTGAAATTTTTCATTTTCTTATATAGGCCAGATTGTTTAGGTGGGAAGAGCTCAATTTAAGGATCATTCAGAAGTAAATAAATTATTAAAGCATCCCTTGAAAATTGGCAGTTAGCATATTATTAAGTTATCCCCCAAATCACAAAAAAATTATTCTAATTATACATATACAACTTTTTAAGAGGTTAGAGGTGTTCTCCATATTTTAACTTAGGTTATACTTCAATTTAGAGAAAGGAAAAATGAAAATATTTCTCTTTTGGGGTGTGTTGTTTTTCTTAGTGGGTAAGGATATGTAGTCATACAAGCTAATGGTAGATGTGATTGCATTAGCAGTGGGAGGGTTCTTTCTGCTCTGGCACAGTTTAATGTGGCTTAGAGGAAGCATCTGAGCAGAGCCCAATGGCTGTGGTGCCAGCTCGTAGCGGAGATTCTCACTGTGGGGGAGGCTGGAGTGGCACCTCTAAATCTCGTTATTTCCAGGCCTCGGTGGCCGCTGGGTCCATAAAGTCTAGAGGCTAAAATGACATAAATGGTTTAATT